CCCACAATTTCTGCTAGGCACCCAAGCTCTGTCTTCACAGTCTGATCCTACCTGGAAGAGCCGTCCTCCTGCTCATCTCAGTCCTTAAAACCTAGTTCATGCTCACTTCCTGCGAGAGCCCTCTCCGTGGGACGCCAAGGCTCATTCCATCTCTTTTCCCTTTAAACACCCTCTAGTGCTAATCCAGCACTTGCCATGCAGCGATTGTCTTGTTTAGCTTCTCACAAGTGTTTGCAGAACTTTTAAGGGACAGGCTCCATCACCTCTACCTTCAGATCTGCATTAATATGTCTTCCTCAAATAAATTAGTACACCATCTTGCAGCTAAGAAGTCCATAAGCTCATGGAGAAGGGTGAAGAGAGGAGGCACAGGTAATGGAGAGAAAATTCAGACACATGTTGCAGGTTATCAAGATTATGCACCGACAGATCAAAACCACGCTGTGTGTATGCTTTACCTTCTGCGGTGCACTGTAACCCAAAGGCAGCATCTCTGTGTTAACGATGTTTTATCTCTACCAGCCTACGGCCCAATTGATTGATTCATCTCCTATATGCTGAACCAGTTCCAAGTACAATGAAGAAATAAAAGGAAAATTAGAAAGGAGATAAAAATTCCCACCCAAACAAGACTTCTTTTCAAGATTTGATTAAGAAACAACATACACAGAAATTGAAACCAAGCAGGACTCTGTGAGTCCTTCCCAGTGACAGACACTTCTCTCCCCTCTCCACCCCTCTCCTGCCTCTTGTTTGTAGAAAAGCTTAAAAGCTTTTAGCCTTCTAGGCCTTCCCCAAGTTCTGAAGAACAAATTTAATCAGAGAAGTGAGAAAATGCGGAAACAAAGAAGAAACAATGAAGACAAGACAAAATAATAATAGTGCAGCCTTGAAACAAAGTCAAACAGCTTTAGTTCCTCCTCAAAGGCCATAGATAATATTCTGAGCCATATCCTGGCGTCGTTTGGCAGATTCTAAAACCTTCACCAGATGGAAAACATTAACTGCATGCTGACCACAAGCACACAGGTCCCAGACCGGTTGGAACCAGAAAGTTAATGATTTTGACTCCCCAAGTACCACCTGGTTACCTCACCACCATCCAATCAGAACGTCCATGAGCTGATCACGCTTCCCACGGCCCTGTCCCGCACACTGGCTTTAAAAACCCTCCCCTGAAAGTCATTGAGAAGTTCAGGTATTTTGAGCATAAGCTGCTCATTCTCCTTGCTTGCCCCCGTGTTGGGCAAGCAGACCCAGGCTTGGTTTGGTAACAAGATGATTAATTAGCCCAAATAACAAATTCCTCTGTCATCTCTTTATTAGTAACTCACAGCAAATTCAGTTCAGTTCAATTAGGGTTTGTTTCATTTCTACAAGTTGTTGCTGGTGACACAGAAGAAAATAAGGTGTGATTTTAGGGTTACATTTGAAATGACTGCTTGGAATTTCCAAGCAGGTGGGCTTAAAATAACAGCTATAGATAGAAACACAGATCTGTAAGAAGTGATTATTTTCTTATATAAAATACTTGTTTTTCAAAGAGGTGCCCTAGGTGTTCAACTTACTCCTGGTTGGAGAAAGAAAAAATATAGGATGTGATGGTTTTGGAGAGACTGGAAGCACTCAAACCAGGAATCTCATCAAGAAAAAAAAAACCCATTATATTAGCTTCAGATGCGTTAATACAATGTTGTTGTCAATTATACTACTATTTAAAATAAACAAACAAAAATTTCAAAAACCAAAAACAAAACAGATGGTATTCCTCTTGGGTAGTTGACCAAGGACCAATTCTATGCAGATTTTTCTACACAGACCTTTAGTAAAATCCAGGAGTTGCTGATACTTGGATGGGTCTTGCACGGAGCACACATTAACATTATTATCTAAACTGAGACTTTTAAAAGGGAACAATATTATGATTAATTACTCTGTGACAACAGGAGACAGAAGCCTGGAGTGTGGGTACCCTAGTGTCACAAGACTGACTGTCAAAGTGAACAAGAAGAATTTAAGGGCAAAGTTAAACATAAAGAGACACCCCCCACCCCAGACCCCTGAAACCTCTTCTGAATGGAATATCAAACCACAGACGACCTGGAAGTAGATTCTCCTCCCACCTGCACTAAGAGTGAACCAGTTTATTCCAGTTTGTGAGTAAGTCCACAAACTTTTCTGACTCCTCCAGAGTTCACCTCCTGCAAATTTCTTGAACTCGGGCGCTACTGTTTTCAGATATGGAAATGTTTATTTGTCTTTGGGCTTGTGGGAAAAGAATTAAACAAAGACGGTGAATATTAGGTGTCAAGAAGATTATTATTTGGATGTGCTTGTGTGAGACATTGAATACTGAATGTATACTTCGTTAATTTCCCTCTAGGCTACTTTAATACCATTCATGTTTTTCTTTTCATAAAGTAGTAGATATATACCTATTGTAGAAAATTTTTAAACTGTAAGAAAGATACACGGTAGAAAATCGAATCACCCATAAACCCCTCACTAGAGAAAAGGCAGAGTATTTCTGTTTGTGTTCAGATAGTTGAGATTATACAGTATAGGTCATTTTTTCCTTCCCTTTTCCACCTACTATCCAACCACTTTAATTTAATGGTTGTGCAATATCCAGTAAGGATGCTACCTAATGTTTATGGATGCTAATACATACCTATAATTTTACCCAGGTGACTGTCCTATGAGGTAGGTAATTTTAACTAACCCATTTAATTAACCCATTTTGCAGATGAAGAAATTGGCCAAATACGGGTTAGGGAACTTGTTCAAGGTTTCACCAGAACTAGGTGCTGAATCAGGTCTGAACCAGGTCTGAGTAATTACAGAGCTCAGCTGCTAAGCAGTAAGCTATGCTGAATCCATCAGATCTGGGTTACTAAACAAGAAAAACAGAAGTTCTTTCAGTATGAAGGGGCTTAATACAGGGCCCATTCAACCTTGTATATGCCTCCCACTGGGAGAGAGCCACGGCTTGGACGTCTCTAGACCTACAGACACAAATGCAATGCATGCAGTGCAATGGCGCCAGTGCTGCTGAGCTCAGCTGCCAGCAGCACCTGAGAGCTGCTGGTGAAGGCCCACACCAGCCTTTGCTGATGCCCACACGTGCCCAGGGCTTCTGCCAGAAGCCATGGACCATCCTTTTCTTCTGCCTTGCAAACCTCAGAAAGTGCCACCTCTGGTGATTTCCAAACAGACACTTGCTGCCGAAAGAAATCCGTGAAACATCGTTCCCAGGCTTTCAGTACCTGTGGCACGAGGGGGAAGCTAGAAGGGCAGGGAAGACATTGAGATGCGTAGGTCACATGAGGCCCCTTGGTTACGAGACATACCAGTCGTTACTTAATTTTCCCCATCATGGTACATTTCTGTTAATTCCCTGGCCTATGGCTACAAATATGATGGTAACTCAAATCTCACTGGCTTATGGCCCCACCTGCATATGCCTGAACTATGCACCCTCTTTCAGTTCTCTCTTTGAGCTCAAGCGAGCTCACAGATGGTCCTCCCTCCGCCTCCACTCGGGGTCCCTCGCTGTGCTTGTCCGCTGCACAGCCACTGGAGGGCAGCACCTCCCCACCGCCACGGCAGCTGGTGCCGCTCCAGGCTAGGTCTCCTCATCCTCCCACGGCTGCAGACCCTCACGTTCCCACGGCGTGTCTCCAGTCCCACCGTGTTGAACCCAACCAAGGCTTTTCCCCGAGTGCCGATAGCCCAGCACTGAGTCCTCCACTCCTGTGTGAGTGCTAGATGGCGTTTTCAGGCCTCTCCACCTCATTTATGGAAACAGCTTCTTCAGCCTATGATGGGTGATCCTTTCTCCCTTGTGACTGAGCGGTGGGCCTGGGTTGGAGGCAGACACCCCACTGCCTGCTCCATCACCTCCTCCCCCATCTCTATCCCTCAGTGTCCCAGACAGAGTTCCCTTCCAGAAGTTCTTTCCTCGGTGAAAATCAACTCATGCAAAAGGACACCAGTTAACTGCCAATTCTGACATTTCACAATACATGGATTTATTTTCTGAACCCTTATGTTCAGACACTTTTTCCATATCTAGTGCTAGCATGAAAATTTTGGACATCACTCTTTGTCCACAGTCATTCCTTAGAGTAGATTCCTTAAAAATGGAATTACTGCTATTGACCTGAAACAAATAGACTGACAGATACTTCTCCAGCAAAGATGAGTGTCTTTGGGATCAGCCGGGATTTGCAGTTCGGGGTCTGCAACCAGGGTGAACCACGTGCAAATGCCCACACAGCCAGCGAGGTAGAACACTTTATATAGAGGGGAGAAGGAAGTTGGGAGGGCTCTAGCAGTGCATGACTTTTCATTGGCAGAGTCCTTGCCAGGAAAGAAGAGGAGTCTTTCTTCTTCCTGTTGGCCTCTGCTATAGTCACAGGAGGTTAGAGCTCCCCCTTCTGGTCTCCCAACTCTATTAATGGAGGTCTCTATTAATTTTTCACACTGTGTGAAAGATAATAAACAGTTTTAAGGTGGTGATACAAATTGTTGGCAAATTGCTTCCAAAAAGTTTTACCAATTTATACTTCTACCGGCCAATAACAGGGCCTTTACTTGAATCCTGGCTCACCACACATTCTACTGAATGATACATTATCTATCTACCTACCTACCTACCTTATCTATTATCTATGTAGATATTTGTCCATAAGATGTGAAGTATGCAATATATTTATATCTATATATGCATGTCAATATCTATATCTATGAAATTTTCTTCATGTTGCTTTTTCCCCTCTTCTAAGTGAATCATGACCCAATCCTCTCTCTCACATACATCATGTAGACTCCCAAACACCAAACTTTCCAAAAAGGTGCGGAAAGTGACAGCTTCAACATATTTGTTTAGTCAATGGTAATTGTGACAATTCTAACTGTTGAATGACTGCAAGATATTGTTTCAGAGGTTGTAGGGAGTAGGTTAAGCTGTGAGTGTCTCAAAATCCAAAATGCAGGGATTTAAACTAGACAGATTTTTATCTTTTGCAGAACAACAAAATCAGGAGTTAAGCAGGCCAAGACTGGTATGAGATCCATTGAACCACATTCTGTCCATTTTCCATGCCCAAGTTTGCATCCTCATTCCACCCAGCAGGAAAGACAAAGGGGAAGAGGAGTCATGGTTCTTCTTTCCGAAGTCACTTTGCAGAACTTGTACATACTGCATCCTTTTACGGCTCATTGCCCAGAAGGTAGTCATACAGTCAAGTTCAGTTCCAAGGGAGGGTGGGAAGTGCAGTCTTTTTTCCATGTGATCATCTTCCAACTGAAAATCAGAGCAGTTAAGTAACGAAAAGATATCAAGGAACAAATAGACTTTCTTGTCCGAGTCGTAAGTATAAGATGTGATGTTTGTTCTTAAATGACTCACAATTTACTTACATCCTGGAAAGCCTGTGTTCCTCCTTTACACAGAAAACACACGCTGTGGATAACAGCCTGTGGTTTTCCTTTCCTTTAATTATAGTCTGCTTTCCTTTGACATAGATTATAGTTTCAGAGATATACTTCAAATTGGTTTTGGAATTCAAACAGCTGTAACTTCTCATGCTTTGTTCTCCTTCCTCGCCCAGCCTCTCTGTCTGGCCATTAACTGATCTGAGAATAAACACTCCAATGCAACGAGTTGTGAGCCTGGAAGTTTGCTTCAGAGCCCTTCCTTAGAAAAAGAAAAATGAAAATGTACTAAAACATCTGGAAGCAAAGAAAAAAGCTAAGAGAGAAGAAAAACACCAGGTTTCTGTGATTAGCATCTCAAGTTACAATGAATAGAGCTTCCATCATCCAAATTAAAAACAAAACTTAATTTGGACAGGCCAAGAAGTTTCATGATGAGATTCACATCAGTAGACTCAGGGCGATCTACCGAGGCAGGATTTCATGATAATATTTTGTATATTTTGTGCATCTCATCAAGTGCACAACAGACAAAATAAAATAGTTTCATAAATTACTGGTCAAATAAAGCATATACTATAGATTTTATGGATTAGCGACATGAAATAAAAGACAGGATTAGCGTGAGCAATGGATCCCAGAAGTCTTGAGTCCTTTCTTATTATCCATAACCACTTGGCAAATACTCTTTCTTTTGCTAAATTGGTTAGGCAAATCATCTCTGTTTAATTTTGTGTCCATCTTTATTTCTAGCTTTCTCATCCCTCTCCTGAACCATATATATATGTGTGTAGTGTAGTGTACTTCACTCAAGAAATACTTTCTAAATGAAGCAATTTGTGTATAGTTTATACTCAATTCATATACATACATTGATCGATGGATTTGTCTGAGGATTGCACGTGTCTTGAAAAAACTCTATATGTCTTCATCTTCACATCTCCTAGGATGATTATAATTTAAAAAACACAAAGTAACAAGTGTTGGCAAGAATGTGAAAGAAGTTGGAAGCATCATATGTTATTAGTGAGAATGTAAAATGGAACAGCCCCTGTGGCAAAGTTTGTTGGTTCCTCAAGATCTAAACAGAGTTACCAGATGACCCAGGAATTGTGCTCTGAAAATGAATTGAAAACAAGGATTCAGACAGATACTTGTATGTCAATGTTCACTGCAGCATTATTCATAATAGACAAAAAATATAACTAATGCAAGTGTCCAGCAACTGTTGAATGAATAAACAAAATGCAGTATACAATGAAATATTATTCAGCCATAAAAATGAATGCAGTTCTTATATAGGCTAATGATGATAAACCTTGAGAGTATTAAGTGAAATAAGCCAGACACAGTAGGACAAATAATGTATGATTTCAGTGATATAAAATACCTAGAATAGGCAAATTCATAGAGCCAGAAGGTGGATTAGTGGTTACTGGGGGCTGCGGGGATGCTGGAATGGTGTGTTATTGCTTGAATGGGTCCAGAGTTTCTGTTTAAGGTGATGAAAAAGTTATCATCGGGGAAAAGATACTGATAATGGTTGCACAATGTTGTGAATGTAATGAATGCCACTGAATAGGACAACTAAATGCTTAAAACTAAATTTTGTTATATATATTTTACTGCAATTTAAAAAATCTGTTGCTTTGGTCTTGCGCACTTACATGGTATTCTATTTTATAGTTTACGAGAGATTGTCCCCACAGTCCCATGAAGTGGGCCGATATTTATCATTTCCTGCATCTCCCTGTCCCCACCCCTGCTTCAGTGATGATTAACTTGAAGTTCAGGGCATTCATGTAGTAAGTTCAGAAATAGCTCTCATACCGACGCTCTCAGACTTGCTGCTCAAGGTTCAAGTGCTGATCTTTCAGAGACTCAAACCCTGGGAATTCTTTCAAGGTCAGCTGATCTTCGAGTGCTCAAAACCTGAGTTACTGCCATAGCAGTAACTGGTTTAGCTGCTGGTTATGACTGGTCCAGCCCACCCCTAACTTCGAGCACCCGACTGAATGACTGTTAAAGGAATATAAATTCGGTCCAAACAAACATGCTTGGAAAGAGATTTCATGTATACCTTCAGAGATCAAAGTGCTCTGTGCAAGCACCTTGAAGAAGGAGCCGCACAAGAAACCAGACGGAGTGGATCTGACGTTTCCCAAAGAGAGGGCAAACGTTGGGTTAGCCTGGAAAACAGGTCGTCCTGGGAATTGTCAGTCAGGATCTAAGTCTTTTGGAGCACTGGAAGCCTACATCCCCTCATTTGATCCTCATGACAATTGAGAGAGAAAATGAGGGTAGAAATGTTTTCTCCATTTTACAGTTGAGAGAAGGTTAAAGGCTTGCCCAAGGTCATACAGTCAGAGGGGACTGAGATGAAAATAGAACTCAGGTGCCCTGAGTTCTAGGCCAGGGCTCTTTCCATTATCCTGCAGCTGCCTGCTTCCAAGAGACCCACATCCAATGCCCAGAAAATGCCATGCGGAAGACTGCTGTTACTATTCTAAGTTCAAGTTGTCCAGGGGGGGTTGCAGTGGGTGCAGCTAGAAGTGGAATGTGGGGATGCCATCCTGCCATCATGGATATAGAGTCTTTTTATGGCTTATGCCACTCCAACTGGCATAAACAAGGCATAGCTGAAGATTAAATGTCCCGAACATTATTAGCTCATTAGATTTCCTGACACTTTCTCCCAGAATTCTGTTCTGTTTATGCCCCCAATCAAATTTCTTTTTATCAAATTTTGAAAATGTTCATGAAGCGATGTCCTCTTCCTTGCCACTCTTCAGCAAATACTCTCTCGTACACCTTGGGAAGGAAAAAATTCCTTTCAGTCAGAGCTCAAGTTGCCAAGAAGAAATTGCTCTATCTCTACCACCCCTGCCTTGGGTGACCAACTTGTCCCAGTCTGCCCGGGACTTTCCCAGCTGAAAGTCCTGTGTCTTCCCTTTGATCCAGGACAAAGTGGGGTAGTTGCTCATCCTACTATGGCCCTGAATTTTTCTACACCAGCTTCCCCGCTGAATCCATACCCCTTCTAATTCCTATTTGAGGGCTAATTTTTGCAAAGGTGATCCTGCTAGGGCAGGGGGCTGTTAACAGCAAATGGGAGTCCCATGAGCTAGCCCTGGGCAGAGCAGGGAGGGCTTTCCGTGGCTCTCCCCATTCAGGCATGGTGATATTGACGGGAAGGAGTTCCCTCTTCCTGCTGCTGAGGGTGATGGGTCAGACCCTGCAAAGTGCTTTGTCCCCACAAGAAAGACGTTCTGTGGCTCTGCCTACATCTAACCACGGCAGATGGATCAGCGAACTGGCCTTGGTGGCTTTTGGCTCTGTAGGACAAGAAGAGTTTCCATGAAGGTAAAGGACAGGTTTTTCTGAGTCCTGAGCTTCCTGGTACGAGACTTGAGGGGTCCCTGGGGGTAGAAGAGAGTGGCTGTGACTGGTTGGAGATGGGAACAGCTGTTAGTGACACTCACTCTTGCCAGCAGGAAATTAGGACTATCCCATTGCCCCAGGGAAAATTTGTAATGTTTTCAGGATAGGACATTCTAGTAAGGCCAAGCAGGGAGCAATTACCTCCAGCGTCAATCAGTCTATGGGATAATTGAGACGATTCAGCACAAACCAGTTTGTCCTTCACTTCTCTTGACAAAAGAGGTCTGATGACTTTGGCTGGCTGGAGCCAGCCCACTGCAGCTGGCAGGTTGTCCCAGCAGGTTAGACGAAGCGCTGTGCTAGCAGAGAGGTTAAAGCACTTGCTCAGATGCCCCCTTCCCGAATGTTCCTGTTCCCTTAGGAGGGAGTTTTCTGTTCAGGCTTAGATCTGGCCGCCTTTCTGACCTGACACAGGGTATTTGCTGCTGCTGGATCTGTTGTTTCAGGGAGTGACTACTGGACAGCTCCAGCGGGGAGGACATCTAGCAGCATTTCAGCCTCACTGTCTTGCCGGGAGCTTCCATAATGGAGAAGATAAATTCACTGCATGTGCGCGCAGGGCTTATGTAAGCAGCAGGCAGCAGGGCAGAGTGGAGAAGACGGGAGGGGGCAGGGAGCGCCGGCGGCCCCGCAGTGCAGAGCCCAGCTTGGAAAGCCCATGCGGAGGTGCGGCAGGAGTGTGCTGCTGCGATGCAGACAGCAGCAGGGGCGGAGGAGGGTTTATGAGTTTCTAGCCCTCGTGCTGGGACACAAAAGCCCTAATTTGGCAATGCTCAGGGGGTAGGACTGGAGATGGTGGGAAAGCTGCCTTATTGGGGCTGGTTTGTGACAATAGGTGGGGGTGTGCAGTGCAGGAGGGAGCTGAGGAGACAGAGGGGAGAGGAAAAGGCCAGAGGCCTTGGAGCTGCTTTGCAGGGGGGAAGGAATTAAACCAGCAAGATTCTTTCTGCCTTATGATCTCAGCCAGACTCCTCCCCATCTTTGACGCTCCTAGACCACGGCCCACAGCTGCCCACCCTAGCACACAGCAACCAGCAGAAGCCTCTGCTGGAGTCATCGTTTCTGGGGGTATTCAGACATCCAGCATCTCAGCATCTCAGCTGAGTAGGCAGCTTTACGTTGCATCAGTCAGTTGGTTACAATCCCACAACATTTATTTGAACTTACTCTGCACAAGGAATCAGGCTATGCAATTCAGGGCATTTTCCTGCTCTCTGAGTTTGCAGGATATTGGTAAGAAATAGGCTTGGGCTCAGATAAATAAAGCATACAGCTAGACATGGTACCTGAAATTCTTGAGGGAGATGTAAAGTGCTATATAATTTTTTCTAGGGGTTCAAATAACTAACATCAATTTCCTTCCAGCTGATTTTCAGCTTGAGAGGAGTAAGATATGGGCTGTTTTGTATGATCTCTGCAAATCTGATCAAGTTGTCAATAGGGCAGAAGCGGTAGGTACATTTCAGCTTCTGTTCAACTTCAATAATATTCACTCTTTTTTTTTTTTCTTGGCTCTGGTAGAGAAAGCTGGCCTTTAAAGTGAGACCTGGGTAGAGATCTTGGCATTGTCCTTTGCTTGCTTTGTGTTATCGGGCAAGAAACTTCACTGTCAGTTTTTTCATCTGTTAAGTGAGGCTGAACTAAAAAGTGATTAAGAGCACAGGCTCTGAAGTTAAGCTGCCTGGATTTGAATACAGAACCCATTACTTATTAACTGTGACCTTGGGTAAGTTGCTGAACCTCCTGGTGCCTCATTTCTTCATCTGGAAAATGGGGGCAACAACAGTACCTACCTCATCAGGATACTGTGATGATTAAACATGTTGATACGTGCATAGAACTTAAAGTAGTGGTTCATAAAGAATAAATGTTTTATAACAATGATGATAACAACAATAATTTCATCACAAGTTTGCTGTGAGGTACAAATTAGACAACATACATTAAAGTACCTGGAAAATAAATATGAGTACATGTAATTGTCTCCTCCTTTTACTTACGATCATTTAGGAAATGCAGAAGAGCCTTCTGTACTAATACTCTGTACCACATGATTAAGTCTGATATGGATAGAAAACTTTTTCTTCTTTTGCTACTCTTCTTTTCAGAAAATGGGAACTAAAGTTGATTTAGGGAGTGATTATTAATATGATATAATAGCTCTTAACATTAAATACAAAAGTTATGCTAAAGTACAATTTTCAAAAAGGTAAAAAGCATGACTCATATACAAATATATAATGAAGAAATTTCAAATGTTTTATTGAACCCATTAATTAATTAGGGAATGAGTAAGAGGCTAAAATCTGTTCAGAGGAGAAGTTGCAGAACACACACAAACACAGACACAGACACACACACAATCAGGAATGCTGAAATGAATTTGCTGACAGTTGCAAAACTGGTTAATAGCCTATAGTACCATAAAGTATAATACTTGGAGTTAACCTTTTTCAGGATGGAAATCAATCAAATCTCTACAAGAAAAAATTCATTTGCATTTCTATAGACAAGAATAATTTGTTTTACTCTCAGTTTTCTACTAGTTAACTTCTATTTCTCCAGAGCTGTACAATTGCCTAGTTTGTGAAAACAGTTTATAGAACCCAACAATCCCCAGAGAGTCTGCTAGCTGATGCCCGAGTCTTCACTGAAAAAGCATCCAGTAAAGTCCCTAATAATTACAGATAAATTGAAAGATAAAATATCTTTTCAGCTGGAAAAGATTGTGAAAAGTATTTACACTTGTCAGTTGATTGTGTAATTTGATGTTTACCAAACACCACGGTTCCTCAGATTAAGACCATCCTCCTTCAGATGGGAGGGCTGAGAGGTGATGGATGTTACCAGGATCACTGATAGCAGAGGCTGCTTTTTGCTGACTGGCATCTCAGAGAGTCTATGGCCTGATGACTCTTCTTCCAGAGGCACTGCAGCCTTGAGAGAGAAGTCTAGCCACAGGTCTTCAGTGCAGTGGGATAGGAAACCCGAAGTGGTTGGAGGTTGGGGAGGGGGAAAGGGAGGACCTAAGCCCCTTGTGGTTTGATCAGCGCCAATCCACTGGGACACAAGGTAGAACAGCTCCTTTCTCTGACTTCTTCTTGGCCCCTCCGGCACTGTCTATCATAAGCCCATGAACCATATTCGTATCAACACATTCAGTGTCCATGAAGTAGGGGACTTTTTTTCAACTACTTTCGATATGATCGTGGGCTAGTAGAAATGCTGAGAATTAGCATGAT